TAGAGGTAGTTTTTCTCTTTCTTTTCAGCCCTAGTTCGCTAGAATCCATGTATTATTGATAAGGTTTTGGGGGGTACCCACGAAGGACGTTGAAGTATACCCATTCCGCCAGCCTAGGTAGGAGTATACAGGTTGCTTATCTTAGACAGCTATAAGAGCTATCTTAACTAGGAGTTTAAGGACTATTACCTAGAGAACTAAATCCTTACTCTCTATATACTACCTTACTTATTACACATCCTCTAGCTACTTAATATAGTCTATTTCTTACTATTAAAGCGTAAGTACTCCTAACATGTTTAAGACTTAGCACACTAATATATCTTCTATATTAATAAGAAAGGCTTCCTACTAGCCTTTAGGGATGTGTTCCTTAATATATTTACAAAAGTTAACTACTAAAAGGCCTTTAAGGTATTAGGGCTTATTCCTACTAATATATAGGTAGTGTTAGATTACCTTAAAGTGCAGCTATATACCCTACTAGCAGTACCTCTACCTAAAACGCTGTAGTAATCTAAGACACTAAGCAATACACACAAGTTTAGGTCTTAATCTAAGCTTATAAGTAACTCCTTCTAATAATTACTAAGTATAGTGTAAGAGAGGTTCTTAAAGCTTATAAAAGGGGCTAAAGAGATACTACATAAAAACGTCCTTATTAAGGCCTGCGTGCAAGAGCTTGAAGAGTAATTAGCAGTAATAACTAAGAGAAAATCGCGTAAGAGAAAGCAGATTCAGCATAGTGGCACACTTAAGTATGGCCTAGCAGCATCGCAGGTAGCTGCTGAGGCGTGTGTAGCAGCTCAGCTATCTAAGAAGACTTAGGGTGGAGGTGGTTAACTAGGAGCTTAGTTAACTGTTTAGCGCTGTAGGAACTATAGCAAGACTAGACATAACACACAAACGTGCTAGGAGGGTGTAGAAACATCTTCTAAATCTAATGCAAGCACGCAGTATGCTAGGTCACTGTTTAATAGCAAGTAGTTATAGTTGCAGTAACTTGTGTTAGTTGTGCTAAGAGAAAATGGCTAGTTCAGTGATATGGCTGGCTTGGTGATAATCTATGTTATTGCCTGTAAATCCTAATGTTATACTTAATAGGTTCTGCTACACTACCCCTAACGACTTAGGATTAGTCTCCTCTAGTTCTACAGCTTATTCTGTAGAGAATTAGCTTAAGGCTTGTACCACACTTCAGGCAGAGGTGAGGGATTCGCGCAGTGTAGGCGCGTGGAAGCTAGGTTAAACTATCCACTATCTATTATCTTAAGTAGAGTTACTTTAAGTTAAAGTAGATAGCCTGCACAAGAAGCTATACTAAAACAGGAAGTATAAGAAGTAACCTAACAGGCAACTAGACCTGCAACAACACTAAGAGTATTATAGAGGTGCAATAATATAGTCTCCTTAGTCCTTCTAGGAGGCGCGCGCTTGCATAGCTGTTGCAGACCACAAGAGGCAAGAGGAGGAGCAAAAAAAGGCAGAGACAAAGGAGCAAGCTGCTGCTAATAAAATCTACAATAAGAAGATAGCAAGAGAAAAGCGTGAGCAGCAGGCAGAGAAGAAAAAAGCAAGAGACTAGGCCAAGGCAAAGGAGCAAGCAGCTGTTAATGCTTATAAAGAGCAGAGACGCAAGGATAAGGAAGCTTGCAACGCTAAAAAAGCTCTTAAATTATCTTAAAGAGGCAATTGCATATCCTTAAAAGCTTCTGTAGTTAAACAGAAGCCTCTGCGTTGTGCTGTAGGTGCTTGTAGTCATCCTAAGCCTGTGACACCTCCTCTGCCACGCCCAACTATTATCACCTAGAGTGGCCGCACTGCCACGAAATACTAGTGACTTTGTATTAGGAACTTTGTCGTATAGGTCTATAGAATGCTCTATCAAAATATCTCACGATAATAACTATTGTAGGTGGCTCTACAGCCTCAATTTTGTGATGGCCGTACAGGCTCGGAACGATCGTTGGTTGACTCCGATCGTTGGGTGCACGGACACGGTCCTTTAGCGCCATCCCCGCGTAAGCAGCAAAGAGCAGAACCGAAGAACAGCTCAAGAGTACGCCAAACCACTTCTAATTGACACAGTACGCGTCGCGACGCTGACTGACAAGGCTCTTGGTGGGTTTGAAAGCGACGGGATCAATGTCCTCTGAATTACTAGTGATGTTTGTTGAAGTGGCCTCGTCCAGATTTCCTGAGAGCGCTCGTGTAGCGTATGTTGACTGGAAGAACGAATTCCAGAGGATGGTCAATTGCTCCGCAAATATCTCTGCGGGAAGCTCGTACAAGTTGACCATGTCGTACATGCAGACACCGATGAAGTTCACCGGGTCGAACATCCACTCCTCCATAATAGTAGCGCCGCGCGTGAGGCTCGTGACGTCAATGGTGTCTACACTGGTCATAGTGTTCATGTGATTTACCATTTGTAGCATCTCCTGGAGCCTGTTGTTTGCGGTGTTGGGGACGTTGCCATCCAATCTAGTAACCTTTAATGCAAGAACTGAACAATCTGTCAACACGCTAATTGAGGGCGATTGTTGGGGCAAACTACCTAAGAAAATCAATGGCGATGAAGCGAGTAAGAAGTCGAACACAAGTGTCGTAGCCCTCAATGGTATCAAGACTGCGACTTGCTGTGACTGCACTGGCCAGTTGCCGACTACTGTCTTTCCTGGAGGGGAGTATGCTTTGGGGTCGTTGTACATCTTATCGCGTGGTGAACCTTGCGGCGGCGCATAGCTGCAAATCGTCCGTCCATCATGTTTCGTTACCGGTTCGATGTTCTCAGCGTACGGGCTGGCCCTTTCTTCTCCAAATGGTGCGTACGACATGGTAACAAGGAGCTACCGGGCATTCAGTGCGAAGACAACGGGAAACGCTGATGAGCCAACAGGATTCTACGAGGAATGGGAATCTGATGTACGAAGACCCATGCCAGCTACGGTGCTACCTAGGCCTAGGTAAAGGGTTCACAGCCTGTATGCGCCGGTGGCGTCGCACTTGTACATAGCGAAAGAGAAATGGTGGCGCGGTCAACTCATGCGAAGCTTTAGCTTCATTGTTCACTTCAAACAAGTGCACTGCTGGCCGTGAAGACGTGGTTTTGCACACTCGGTAGGTCTCATTCGTGAGCATGTCCCTGAGGTTAGGAATGGAGCTGCGATAAAATGATGGGGTTGGAGGGCACATGTGGACCGTGGAGGCTGTCAAACAATTTTAGGGGCAGCAGGTGCGCGCAGCGATTGGGCGGCCACAATAATAATGGATCTTCGCAGGCTGGAACTTCAGGCGCTCAGCCCCGAAACACTTGCACAACCCCACCACATGATCTGCCTGGAGTTATGCAGCATTGTCATGAAGGGAGCTCGGTGGAGTCGCGTCCATCTCACACTGAGAGTTTGGTAAGCTCAGTCACGCTGCTCAGTCACGCTGCCAAAAGATGAGCTGCGCAGTCATCCCCGTGCACCTTGCTGACCGTTGGATTCTCATTAAAATCTCTCTACCAGTACTTGTCTGTCACCAGCCTCAGACTTTCCGACGAATATGCTATTACACCTCTGTCTTCAATCCTGATCCTTGTTCGTAGTGTCCTTTCGACCTTTCCAGTCTTCTTGTTCACGCCTTGATGCTCCACCTGTTCGCGCTTCAGCAGACTGCCTTCAACAGCCCATCGCGGTACGGCATCTTCAAAAATGACCCCCTTCTCAGTCTTCATCATGTCCTTGAGCTCATTTGCTGTCTTCCCATGCATCTGAGTTGATGTATACAATGTGCGCGCGAACGCATTGATGGAATTGCGTACAGCGTCGTTTCGACATCGCCATAATACACAGTTGAAGGCCTCCTGGACTGTGGGTACAGCAAAGAAGCGCGCGTCAAAGTGCGCGGTGCCCATTTTGTCGAACGCAGAGTCTTTGACTTTCGGTTCCGGATTTGCTGCTAGAAACGTCGTCAGATGCGCATTGAACCGAACCGAACAGTAGCTCGCGGCAAGGCTCGATAGCTTCTGCACTCGATCATTGAAACCTTGTACGCCAGTGGGAAAGACCAGCGTTATCTCGTCAGACTGTGTATACGCGACTGTCGCCGCCGGGAAGTACTTGAGCAGGTCTGTAGATGTTGCTATCATAGCATCATGTATGCGCTGATCGAACGGCCGGCAGAAGTGACTTGTAAATTTTGAGAACGTGTGGCCATCGAGACGGAGGACGATGGGCGAGTTCAACGGTAGACTGAAGTCAAAAGATGCTTCGTATTGCTTCATGCGGACTGCCAGGGGTTGAGAGTCGTTTGCGGGTTCTGGCGCAGGCTGTTCCATCTTGGGCAGTTGGGCGTTCGACAGTGACCATTCCAATGCAAGAGGTATTGCGGTCAATCTTGTCGGTCTTGTTGATCCAGTATATGTAGACCGAATGCAACGACTGATATAGCGCGCCTGAGTCATCAAATCGTCACGTGCTCTCACTTACGACGCAGAATCATAAGAGGTCTGATAGGTAGTGAGGCGCGGTTTGCTTCGAAGGTGATTGCTAGGAGGCAAGATTGCAGCGCAAAGAGGTGGTAACGTGCACGGCCTCGTAGTGCACACCGGCGCGTAATGCACACCCCACCAACATTGACGCCTACTTTGCACCCCCCATAACTCAACACCACGATGCCGCTAGAAGAAGCCCTTACAGAGCTAGATACTTTGGGACCTGACGATACGCTTTCGTACCAAGCTCTTGCCAAAAAACATGGTTGTTGCCACTCAACTTTGACGCGCTGCCACCGCGGCGTATGCGCGTCACGTGAAGACAAGGCAAAAGACCAGCTAGTTCTCCACCTACGCGATAAGGTAGAGATTGTACAGTACGTCAAATCGCTTACAGAGAGACACCTTATGCCTACAAGAAAGGTTCTTGTGAGAATAATCACGCCTCTGTGCAGGTGGCCGCCAAGCAATTGATGGATTTCTCGCTTCCTTCATCATTACCCCAACAAACTCCTCACCGCCTGGTCAGCGCCTATGGAGAAGCAGCGTCACGACGCTGCTTCATATGATTCCTTTGGCCTCTATTTTGATCTCCTGCACAGTACAATAAAGCAGCATGCAATAGAGGTGGAGAACACGTACAATATGGATGAGAAGGGCTTCATGATTAGAGTGATTAGAAAGAGCGTTAGAATTTTTGACAAGAAGCTCTTTAGACTCCAGAGATTCAAGCTAGCATCTCATGATGGCAACAGGAAGTAGGTGACAGTAGTAGGAGCAGTAGGAGCTGATGGTTTTGCGTTGCTGCCTGCAGTTATTTTCCCTTTATCTTCCCTTACTGTGCAACACAGCTAGTTGAAGGAATTTAAAGCTAAGAAAGACTGCGTGCACTTCAGCACCTTACTAAATAGCTAGACAAATAATGCCCTTAGACTTGCCTGGCTTAAGCAGGTGTTCAATTGCTATACTAGAGTCAGAGCGCGAGGGAAGTACCAACTCTTGATCCTTGATGGTCACAGTAGCCACGTTAC